GAGAGAGAGAGAGAGAGAGAGAGAGAGAGAGAGGAGGAGGAGGAGGAGGAGGAGGAGGAGGATTACATTTATTATGATCACTATTCTATGCTCTATGGGATTTACAACTCTGGACAGTCACACTTTTACCCTAAAAACAATATGGGTGTTTGAACAGTTTCAACCATGCCCGCCTCTCATTGATACATTAATTTGCTATTTTTTTGTAATATGAAACACACACAAAAAATATATAATGTATTTCTTTTCAGCGAACAAACATCAAAGAACGAACTGGAAAATGTAAACGGATAAAATCAAAATAAAATGCCATACCCAACTAGAAAACGACTGGACAAAGAAAAAAAGGGCTGTCCGGGAATGAAAAGATAATATTTTCAAGAGACGGAATGCAGACATTTACCTCAAAGATATGTGTCCATCAATACGAAACCCTTGAAGACGGGGGGGGGCTGAGATTTCCGTCTAGAGTGTCCTACAAAGGTCTGTTTTTCCTTCATCAAATATTGATGTTCAGCTTAAAACTCTTGCGAAACGTCGAGACGAGGAGAATAGCCTTATTACTGAGGGAAAAAAGAGACGTCAAAGAAAAATATGCCTTTTGTCAGCCGTCTTTGTCTCGTGTATCTGGGCGTATTAATACTCGTTGCTGCTGTCAAAGAGAACATTCAGCCACGAGTTAAAGAGAAAATCAGTTCTTCATGGTAGATGCCCAATTATTCTTATATATCCATCTCCACCCCACCCCACCCTCTTTTCTCTCTCTCTCTCTCTCTCTCTCTCTCTCTCTCTCTCTCTCTCTCTCTCTATCTCTCTCTCTCTCTCTCTCTTTCCTCTCGTCATTTCTCGATCGATCTTTCTATCTATCTACTTGGTAACCTGTACCCTCTCCATCCATCACTACTCCTCCTTCACCCATCACGAGCCATCAACCCATCCTCCTTGGGTCCCTCTCACCACCCACACCCACTGCTCACAGCAATCAGTGGTGACTGCACCGCAGTCCATCCGATCTGCAGTCAATTCTCCCCTCAC